GGAGGAACACAATACCACCACAAGAGCGGCAAGGGGTCCCTTTGGGGACAGTAATGACTTATGGGCAGCTGCATCACTGAAAAGCCCACCCCAACATGGTGACCCTTCACATAAACTGCCTGGAACTCTTACACATCCTGGAAGCAGCTTGCCTGGTCCAGGTATTTCCTCTCCAGGGCTCAGCTGCTGGAAGTTTCCTCCCCCAGCAGTCCCTTACTGATCCTCCAAGAGGCTGGGGAGGGGCCTTTCCAGACATGAGAGGTCTGTTTACTTTCTGAGTTTCCAGCCCCCTCCTGGAAGGAATGTGACAATTTTGAGAAAACCACTATACAATAACTGCAGATCAGAGGCTAGAGTTATGGAAAAGCCCATAGAAAACATAAGTTTGTAGGTATGAACCTTAAGTCTGTAAGTCTGAGGTAGGCCATGGAATTCCAGGGAGAAAATAAATTCCTGTGCTTTACCCCAGGCAGAGAACCCTGTTTGGTGGCCATATTGACTGTGTTGGGCTTTTAGGTCAGGGTCCCTCTGGTGATGCAAGCCTCTTGGGTAATGTCTGTGGGAACTCTGAGATGTCTGTCTGGAGGGCTTCTGTGGGGAGAGGGGTCTCTAGAACAGTGTCATGTCTCTGTGAGATCTCTGCACTGTCTCTGAAGACAGAGACACGCCTTGGTGGCCATGAGTTACTGTAAGACTGGGACATCGTGGCAGATCTCTCTCTCTCTCTCTCTCTGACATTTTCCATGCTAGAAAACTGGAGTCAGAGGTGTGTTTCTGCGACTTCTGGGTGGACAATTCTGGGAAGCTTGTAAAATCTGCGGAGTTTTCTGTGGTCTAAGAATATGATGAAGGAATCCAACTGCTGCTCAGGCCACAGCCGCCAAGCAGTGCTTCCCCTCCCACAGGTAGTGAGAAGACACTGAACACCCAGCTAACAGAGTTCATGTGCCAGGGTTACTCACCCGAGAAGTGAGTTTACAGCATAGGCTGAGGTACTCATGGACACATGTCCTGCTCCTTGCCCCTTTCCCTGCCTCCTGTCTGGGAATCAGAGAGCCTGGCTGCGGGCTTGTACTGTGAAACCTCCCTCATACTAAAAAAGGCATAAGAATAATGCCCTGTGACTGACTATGAGCCCTCCTTTTAGTGTCCTCCCCCAACGCCATTATGCTGTCTCTGGTGTGGACCCTTAATTCTCCTCAGGTTATTGTCTACCTGCCAGCCCATGGCATGAATCACTCTTCTAATAAACTCCATACCCCAAACAATCCATTTCACTGTCCCTCTTGATTTCACATATGAGACCCTTCCTGTGTGCTGAAGAGGTCCTGTTGACAATCTCCCTGTGATCTCCCCTGGTGACTGTGTATGACTTTGTGATAGGTCTGTCCATGGTGTCTCTCTCTGAGACCTCTAGATATTCTGTGTGGAACTCCAAGAAACATAGGAGGTCTCTGGGAGGCTGCCTGGTCTGGTGTGTCATGAGAGGTGTGTGTGTGGGGGGGTCCTGTGTGGCAGTCTTTCTGAGGGTGCCGTGTGAGGTCTGAAAGGCTGGGTGATATTGCTGTGAAGGAGGGCGGTGTGACACCCAAAGTCCACCTGGTGACATCTATACCTTAGGGCTGTGGGAAGTTTCTGAGGTTTCCCTTAGTGTCTCTATTAAAAGACTCTTTGAAAAATGTGAAGACTCTGAACTTTGCACTTTTGCATCTTGTAAGATGTATCAACTGTCAGAAGTCTCTTTGGGGGTCTTTGTTAGGGCTTCAGTGTGGAACTTGTGGGATTATTTCTGTGTTTTTAAGAGTGTGTGGGTGACGTCTCTGTGAGGGTTTTGTAGAGGTCTGTGTGTGTGTTTCTGTGTGAATGCCTGTGGAGGGCAGGGTGGATTTCTGAAGATCTCTTTGTAGATGCCAGTAACATTCTCCCTGGAAGGTATAGCTGGAGTTATCTCCAGTCTTGCCTTGGCCTGCAGCTACTCAGACCCAAATAAACACACAGATGCTTATATTATTATAAACTGTATGGCCGGTGCAGACTTCTTGATATCTCGTTCTTATATCTTAAACTAACCCATAATTCTTATTTATGTTTACACGCGTGGTTTTTTTTTTTTTTTAACCTTTTCCCAGTTCTGCCTTCACATCTTGCTTCACATGGCTGTGGCTGGCAGTGTCTCCTGACTCAGCCCTCCTCTTCCCAGAATTCTCGTCTCTCTTTGTCGCGCCTATACTTCCTGCTAGGCTACTGGCCAGTCAGCACTTTATTTATTAACCAATCAGAGCAACACATTCACAGCATACAGATATCCACAGCAGGAAGGTTTTACTGTATCTCTGTGGCAATTTCCCAGTGCCTGCAGATCTTATTAGTCACTACTGTCTCCCACTATGTGATTGTCTGCAAATGTCTGTGGAAACCTGTGAGGATGTGTGGGAGGGTCTGTGAAGATCTCAGGGACTCTAGAATGACAATGTGGATTTCTGTCAGGGGCTTAAAGAGTGTGTGGTTTCCATGTTGGGGAAGTCTGTGAACGTGTCTTGTTGAATCTCTAGAGGATTTTGGGGGGTCTCTTTCTGTGGATTCCTGCTAAGGACTCTGTAAAAACCTACTTCTGTTGGGTTCTCTGTGGAACTCTCTATGGAGATGTTTGGGGATCTGTGTTTTGATCCCTGAAGGTCTCTAGGAGTGGTTTCTGGAATTCGGGATGTTTCTCAGTGTGGATCTGTGTCTGGGACTCTGTAGAGATCTCTTTGGGGTTTGTTAGTGAGAATGGCTGTCAAGGCCGGGTGGTGGTGGCACACGCCTTTAATCCCAGCACTCGGGAGGCAGAGGCAGGCGGATCTCTGTGAGTTCGAGGCCAGCCTGGTCTACCAAGTGAGTTCCAGGAGAGGCGCAAAGCTACACAAGAGAAACCCTGTCTCGAAAAACCAAAAAAAAAAAAAAAAAGAGAGAGAATGGCTGTCGAGGTCTTGTGAGGGTCTCCAGGTCTATGGGATGTCTGTTATAGTTGACAGGGTTGACCGTGGCGTGACCATTCCTGCCGCCGCCTGGTCTGTTGCATCACTGTCTCCAGCACTCGTACCCTGAGGACTCCTGGGACCCACTCCCGAGTCTTTGCTGGACCCAAATGTGCCTCCTGGGTTCCTGAGAGGACCCAGAAGTGCCAGCCTCAGTGTCCTGGCTTCACTCTGGCTTCTGGGACTCTGTGGAGGCTGCAGTCATTGATAGGGGCCAACTGAGAAGAGCCTGTGGGTCCCGTATCCACTCCTAAGAGCTGCTGAGTACCACATGTAGTCTCGGGAAGTGTGCTGCAACAGGCCCCATGTCTATGTCCTCTACTTGGTGGGGCCTTCTGGAACAAGGTTTTCTACCAGCTGGAGCTGTTGACTGGCTGCCTTCTGTGAGGAACAGTGCAGAGTACCCTGGAATTGACTGCTCTTGTATGCAGTTACTCCAATTGTTTCAAAGAGAACAGAGACTGGGACAAGAAATCCTGGGGAGGAGCCAGGTGAGACCCAGGAAGGGACCCTTCTGGCCTTCCCAGAGATCCAAAGAGCACCTGCACTTTGGACAAGTCCCTTCCACTGTGAACCAGCCCTGGGAGATGGTCTTCTCTGCTGCGCTCATGGGAGGGCAAGGGCTGGAGACCTAGAATGAGGTGCTGTGGGCACAGTGTATCCCCTCAACCCTCTCAGGTGTCCTCCTTCCCCTTGGGAGTAGTGCTGGCAGTGTGTGTGTGTGTGTGTGTGTGTGTGTGTGTGTGTGTGTGTGTGTGTGTAGACCACCACTGTGAGTGACACTCAGAATTCCTGATTTCTGGCCTTTCCCGCAGCTCGTCTCTGGAATTCAGAAGGTAAGAACGTGTAGCTTATTAGACGTGCTGTTAGGAAGCTAACCTTCCACCCTTGCAGGATTTGTTTCAAGTCATTTTAAGCTAGAGGCCTCCGCCAGTCGGTGGTGGAGAGCCTGGGGTGAGGCCAAGGTGAGTGGCTCAGACACTGATGTCAGCGTCTGTACTGGGAGGGCTTGGGCTTCACCTGCATGGCAACTTTTAGGGCATCTTCATATTACATGGCCTCCTGCCTTGGCTCTAACCTTTTTATTTCCTCTCTTCCTCCTGAGACTCATCATGCCCACAGTCAGATGGGTGCTGTCTGTTCAGTGACCAGAAGGAATGGCAAATGACCAGGAGTCATGAGACTGTCAGCCACCACTCTGCAGCTGCCACCTTCATGAAAAGTTGTCCAAGCCATCCAGGCCACCATTCTGGCATTGAAGGCAGCCATAGGACAGGGTGACACTGCTTTGTCATCCAGGCTGAGGTGGGAGAGCCTGGAAACTCAGCTTGTTGGCAGCCACCGTTGAGGTGAGCAGGGGGTCCCTAGGATCTCTAGGTCCTTTATTCCCTGTCAGGACGTCCAGAGGTCATGACTGTACTGCTTTGAACTCAAGGATGCCACACAACTGTCCTCATCACTGTGCCTACTTTGTGACTCGTGAGACGTTGAGCTGGCTCTCTGTTGCCTCTACACAGCTACACAAAGGACAGTTTGGAGCAAATCAGGAGAAAGACATGGTGAGCTGGTTCTTAGGTTGGGGTCTTGCAGGGCTAACTTAGCACAACACCAATCCTAAAGAATTCTTTTACATTGTGTGGTTGACTTCGCCCACCCCCCATAATCCTAAATACTTGTTTGTTTGGGTCTTTTAGTGTTGACTTAGCACCCTCCCACAAATATCCTAAACTTTCATTTCTATAATTATAGTATAATTAACACTAACTACAGTGATGGACCTAAGAGTTGGTGAGACCTCAAATGCCACTGTCCCCTGCCTGTGGAACCATTTCCCCTCCAGAAGCAGTACTACGGTGGAGCAGATGCAGACATTTCCCTGTGGGCTAGCACTGCAGACACACTCTGCAGATGAAACATCCACAGAGGAAGCAATGCCTAACTTGGAAAATGACAGTGATGGTCATTAGCACTCGGAGACCATGCTCTTTTGGGGAAAAGTGTTTAATTACTTTCTATAGTCCACTTCTGTAGGGGCAGTGCCTAGGACAGTGGACAGGGTTCCGTGGGACACGTGGTGCCTGTGCTCTGTGCTGATAGGGCCTGGGTCGGGACCCAGGTTCTCTGGACACCTGGGCCCAGTTACCATAGGACATCCATTTGTCTGTAGAAGGTTGGCTTTGTGAAGGTTGGCTGTGTACCTTGGGGTTGGCTTGGTGAACACAGCTACTGTATTGTTTCCTTGTTGTTCCTTGTATTGTTTCTGCAATAGGAATCCTGTGGTGGCAGACATGCCTACTCACTTGGGCTTGGGGTGGTTCTTGGTGCAAATTTTTCTTTGAGGGAGCACACCAATGGTGAACCCCCAACTTTTCCTCTAGAATCCATCCAACAGAGGTCATGAGATCCTGTGCTTCAGCAACCTGTCGGGCCATGAATAATCTACTCAGGACTGACCCTTGGCTTTGGGTTGTGGCTGGAAAAGCCTTGATTTTTTCCAGGGAGTTCTCTTGTAATTTGGCTTTGGGGTTGAAAATTGACCTTATAAAGTTTTTTATCCTGTCCCCAAACTTCCCTGTTTCTTGGGAAGAACTGCAATTTTTAGTATTTGACCTGTAGGTTTGGACAGGCCTCATACCTGAAAGACATGCGTCCTGCCTGGGACTTTGACATTGTTTTTTGTCAGTTGGAACAAAGATATGGCTAGGCCATGGTTCCTGTGGTTTAGAAATCTTAGGCATATCCCCTTCTCTTAAGAAAGGGTGCCTGTCCTGGTAGGTTGACTTGCTTGTAGCAGGCACATTCTTGAAGCTGGACTGCGAGGCTCTGGAGGCCAGGATATCTGCAGCAAGGAGAATCTCAGGGGCACAGTCTTTAAAGAATGATTCAGTAGCACAGTCCTGCAGGGCAACACCAGGGGACGAGCAGTGAAGTGTGCTCAGGCCTGAGTCTTCTGGATCCTGGGTAGAAGGGGATGGACTTTCACTGGGCTCCAGTGATTCTGAATCCCTTAGATATTGATGGTTGCTTTCAGAGTTGGCCATCTCCCCAGCTTCCATAATGACTGCCCAGTCACAAGACTGTTCCTCCTCCGCCTTCTTAAGTTCCCTGGTATCCCTGCTACTTGGTGACTGGGATGTCACACTGATCTCCCGAACTGACACCCAATTGTAGGTATTGCTTAAAATCAGACGCTCCTTCTCCTGTGACTCATGTGCACCCTTCACTAGGCTTGGGTTTGACTCTGGGTTGCCTGTCCAAGATCTAAGAACCCTATCATTGTGCCAGTCTCTGCCCACGAGACTTTGTGAGGTGGACAGAGAAGTCATATTGTCTCCCTTGACAGTTGTAGGGGCCTCAGAGGGTCCAGAATTGTCTCTAGGTGGAGTCTCTCTCAGGAATCCCAGCTGGGAGGCAGAAGGAGGGTTCTGTGTGGAAGTTGTTTTCATTTTCTCTTCTGGGCCTTTCTGAAAAGGTTCTCCCAGGACACTGGCCTTTTTGACAATGGAGTCATCACTAGAATCCCAGAAGGACAAAGAAGATTCAGAGGGCTGTGGAAAGGGCACAGCTGTAGCCTTGGTCTTGTTGAGAACATGGATAGCCTTGAGGCCTATGAGGGGCAGGCTCCATCTGTGCCTCACCAGACGTCTTGTAAGATGTGTTTCCAGCACCTTCTGAGTGCCAGGATCTAGGAAGGAAGGCCCACCAGAAGTTTTCCTGTAGGTGGTACAATCATTCAAGTTTTCAGGAGGGGCCAATGCATGGTCCATACATACTGCATGACAAATTCCCACATGCACCTTACTGTCCTGGGCATGCCTCCACTTGCTGCTTGAGTCTTTTGAGGGGGTACCTTTTAGTAACTTCGTTCCTGGTCCCACTGGGGAAACACTTCGAGTGTCACTTCTCAGGTGTCTCATGTGGACACTTTCTGTCTCTGTCTCAGAGATAGCCCCGAGAACTTCTCCTAGGTAATCTTCTGGGGTCCTGTACAGATTGTTCAGAGCTCTTCCAAGACAGTTTGTCAGATACGTGCTTGGGTCCTTCCATATTTGGAATATTTCTAGACCCTGTGATGAGATACTTTGTGCATGAAGACTGCTTTCATCTCCCAGTGCTGATGAACATGAGGTCCCGTGGTTAACTTTTGCCTGACCCATCCCTGGGAGTTTGTCCTGAGACTTTCTCGGATCAAGAGATAACTGGACCTTGTGGGGGCATGGCCGTTGTGTGTCAGTCTTTTTTAAGTTTTGTTCCAGCTGCTGCTGAAGCCCGGGGTTAATGAAATTCCCCGGGAGGTGGTCAACAGAACCCTTTCCCTGGGAGGCCCAACTGTTAGAATTGAGTTGATGAAATGCTTCCTGTGACCTCTTAACTATGGGGGGTAAATCACACTTACTCTCTTGGTGCTTCTTCAAAAGGTGGCGCTCTAGGTGTTGAGCAGCAGGTGGGATCATAAATTGGACTCTTGAAGCTCTAGGTCGAGAAGCCCCATAATCCCTGGTTGGAGGTGAATGGTGTGGTAGCTTTGTGAGAGAGGATGCGTCACAGCCCTGGGTTTGGATTCCAGCCACTGGTGGAGATTGGGACCTGGATAACTTTGGAGTCAAAGGTTGGGTTTTGACCAAATGTTGAAGCAAGGGCTTTAGAGAAAAAAGCTGTGGATTTACATTAGTCTGATATAATGTTGGGATGTAAGTAGAGAGTCCATTGAATAAGATGGAGGGGGGCTCTGGTAGGGACCCTGCCATGTTGACAGTAACCACAAGGGACTCACTGTGGAGAAAGGGGAGGCCCCAGAAAAGCTGACTGTATTTCTTGTAAAAGAACTGCTGATGACCTGTAAATTGCTCTGATTTGCAGGTTCTGGTGGTGGCCTGCTGGCTGCTCCAGGACTGCAGCATATTGTCCATATATCCCAGGGCATGGTCACACCTGTCTTTGCCTTTCCCCTTCCAAACTTTTAGTTCAACCCTCTTTTGAATCTCAAATTCCAGCCTCTCCTGGATATCAGGGTTGATGAAAGAGGGCTTCTCAGTGTCTATCTGCATGTATGTGGGGCCTGTCCAGAACGAGGCCTTTTGGAGGCTGAGAAACAGATGGTCTTTTGAGGATTCACCATGTGGTGAGTTGGAGCAGCACCAGGTTTTGGCAGCTACCTGGTACCAGGAAGGGCCTGAGGTAGGCCTACTTGAGAGGTCAAGGCCTGGATTGGTAGAGGTAGGCCTGCTTAACTGTTTAAGGCCTGGGGTGGTTGAATTAGGCCTGCTTGAGTGGTCAAGACTTGGCATATTTGAGGAAGACCTGCTGGAATGTTCCAGACCTGGGGTGGTTGAGGTAGGCCTGCTTGAGTGGTCAAGGCCTGGAGAGGTATAAGTACCTCTGCTTGAATGGTTAAGGCCTTGGGTGGTTGAGGTAGGCCTGCTTGAGTGGTCAAGGCATGGGCTGATGGAGGTCCCACTGCTTGAATGGTTAAGGCCTGGGGTGGTTGAGGTAGGCCTGCTTGAGTGGTCAAGGCCTGGAGTGGTAGAAGTCCCCCTGCTTGAGTTGTCAAGGCCTGGGGAGGTTGAAATAGGCCTGCTTGAGTAGTTAAGGCCTGGAGTAGTTGTTGTGGGCCTACTTGAGTGGTCAAGGCCTGGGGTGGTGGAGGTCTCACTCCTTGAATGGTTAAGGCGTGGAGTATTTGAGGTAGGCCAGGTTGAGAGGTCAAGATCTGGGGTGGTTGAGATCCCCCTGCTTGAGTGGTCAAGGCCTGGGATGGCTGAGGTTGGCCTGATTGAGTGGTCAAAGCCTGGTGTAGTGGAGGTAGGCCAGCATGATTGGTAAAGGCCTAGCTTTGTAGAGGTAGGCTTCCTTGTTTGGTCAAGGCCTGAGGTAGTAGAGGTAGGCTTCATTGAGTGGTCAAGGCCTGGGGTGGTAGAGGTGGGCCAGCTTGATTGGTGAAGGCCTAGCTTGGTAGAGCTAGGCTTCCTTGTTTGGTCAAGGCCTGGGGTAGTGGAGGTAGGCCTCATTGAGTGGTCAAGGCCTGGGGTGGTAGAGGTAGGCCTGATTGAGTGGTCAAGGGTAGGCCTGATTGAGTGGTCAAGGCCTGGGGTGGTAGAGGTAGGCCTGATTGAGTGGTCAAGGCCTGGGGTGGTAGAGGTAGGCCTGATTGAATGGTCAAGGCCTGTGGTTGTAGAGGTAGGCCTGATTGAGTGGTCAAGGCCTGGCGTGGTGGAAGTAGGCTTCCTTGAATGGTCAATCCCTGCAGTGGTTGGGATTGGAGAAGGCAAACCTGGCAGAGGTGTGCTCTGTGAGGTCCCCAGAGTTTTCCAGTCACACCAAGGAGCCTTTGTGCTGGGATCTGGCATGGGTGGAGGACAAGCCACAGGATCAGGAGGATGAGATGGGTGGGAAGATGCCAGTGGTGGTGAATAACGTCTTCCAGGAGTCAAGGTCTCTGGTGGCTGAGAGGCACTCCCAGAAAACTGGGACTCAGTAGAAGCTGAGGAATCCAGCAGGACAGGTGACGAGATTTTAGAATCTTTGAGAGGAACAGAGGAAACCGCCAGGGACAAACTGGTGGCCACAGACTTCTCTGTGGGCTGACTAGGTGGCAGGTGGGCTTTGGCAGCTTCTGGCTTAGACGCTTCACCCGAGGCATCTTGTCCTAAGAGCTGGCAACAGCTGATGGTATCGACAAGCCTCTCTAGCATGCTGTGGAAGACAGGAGATGTGATTGCAGCCAGGAAGCTGGGCAAGCTGAGGAGGGAAGGACCCTCGCTCCCCATCCCAGCCACTGTTCCACACTCTGCTTTTTACAGACCTTGTTATCTTAACCTCCAGGCTGTACTCATACCCCACCCATCCAGAGGGCCCCTATTCCCATGGTAACCTTGTGCCCTGGTCGGGGCTGATCACATAACAGACAAGAGGAGGGAGGAGCCAGAGAGACCTGGAGATGGCTCACCTGTGCAGAAGGGAAACCAGTACCTTGTCCCCCTTGGGTTTCTTCCTGCTGCCTCTGTAAGCTGGAGATGGAGACTGGGTTATGGTGGGTAAAGGAGGCACCCGGTATCTAACCAGAGATGGAGTGAAATGCCCCTTCAGTGGGAATGAAAAGTTAAACGGGAGCTCAGGTATGGGTGAGCAAGGCCGCATGCCCAAATGCCTTGAGAGCAAGGCACATGTGGAACAGGACTATGCCATGGACCAGGCGTTTGCACTTCTAAAGATCCCCATGGGCTTCGAAATCTCCCTGTTACGGGAGGGAAGGTCTGGTGTTCTGAAAGAGGAAAATGTCTTAGAGAAGATTAACAACCAATTTGCCCCCAAATCCAGGCAGCATGGCACCACTTCCTCCCACACCGCCCCTCCCCAGGCAGCACCCAGTCCTGGCTGTCCATAGCTTCATTCTGAGCACAGAACCTGGGAAGTGTCTTCAGTTCTAGGTTCCTTCCCAGGGGCCACCTCCTCAGGGCTTCTGCAACACATTTGGTGTTGTCACTTGGGGACCCGTGGTGAAGTCACCTCACCAGGGAAGGAAGTGGCCTACCTTTCACGGTCCTGATTTTCTTCCTGACCTTGCTGTACTCCCTCTTCACCTGACAGAGACAGACAGCATGTGCAGCCCCATTCACTTTTCTATAAAGTGGGCAGGTATGTGTTCTTTTTCTCTTGGCAAACACAAATGGGGACTGTCTCTGTGAGATCCACCACTGATGTCACTGGTCAGTGTTCTGCTCAGGAACCAGAGGCTCAGCTCTGATCACCAGCAGTGGCCTCCTGAGGCCAGAGGTGACCCATGTCCTGGGTCTCATGATCCCCTTCATATCAGCTCCACTGCGTCTATCAGCATGCGTGTTAGAGGGAGACATAGGAACCAGTGCTCAGAACCTTTCCTTTCAAGAGTTCCCTAACCGTCCCAGAAACACCATCCCTGAGCACCGAGTCACAGGGCTTCCTTCTCTTGGGTATAGGGATGTGAGAGCAGACATCTTGGAGTCAGCCCACTCTCCCCTCTGCCCTACCTGCCAGTTCTCAAGGGAATGGGGTCCATCTCCCAGCTGAGATTTCCCTGTCAGCCACCTCCCTATTTGATTTAGAAAGTTTAGCCTATAAAAGGGGAGAGAGGGGACTATTTTCCATTGGTTTGAGGCTAAGGCATTCTTACCTTTTGGGTGGTGGTGTTTTCCATTGGTGGAGGTGAGGGTGAGTCAAGGTGGAAGAAGAGTAATAGGTGGAAGAGCCCCAGCCCACACACAAAGGCAAGGATCATGTCCATTGCCCAAGTAGTGAAGCTGGGGGTCAGCCATGAAGTGTCTATGCTTTCCAGAAGGAACAGAAAATTCTCCATCTGTATAGCACTGTTGCTCTCAGGCACCTGAATGCTGAGAGTTCTCTCTGGGAGTTTCAGCTGGGTCCAGCCTACATCACAGAGCCCCTGTCTCCCTGTCACAAAGGGCTCCTGAGTGGGGGAGGGGAGGTAGGAAGAGGTGACACAACAGTAACTCTCCATTCTCCAACCTTCACAGGTTCCCCATCCTCCACAGCCTTCAGTTTCTATAATCAATTTCACCTGCACACTCTGTCAGAAATAGAGGCTTATCCATGTTCTGTACCTCCCCTACCTCCACAGAGAGGCTTGTCCATGTTCTTGGACTTTTAAAACCTCCAAGCCACCTCCAGTGGCTTACCTCCTCCAAAAGGCCACACCCCCTGATCCGTCCCAAACAGTTCCACCAACTAGACACCAAGCACTCAAATATATGAGCCTCTGGAAGTTTATTTAAACCACTCTATTCCACTTTCTGGCCCTCCATAGGCTTATAGTGATATCATAGCAAAATTGACTTAGTCAAACTTCAAAAGTCCCCATAGTCTTTATAGCCTCAACACTATTTCAAAGTCCAAAATCTCTTCTGAGACTCAAGGCAATCTTTTAATTGTAACCTCCTATTAAAGCAAAACTCAAATTACATGTTTCAACATATAATCTCACAGAATGTATATTTCGATTCCAAAAGGGAGGAAAGAGTGTAGTAAGGAAATACTGGACCAAAACAAGACCCAGCAGAGAGAACAGTTCTACCAGCTGGGGACCAAGCATACAAATACATGAGCTTACGGGGCCATCCTCATTCAAACCATCACAACAGTGGAATTTTTTACACTGAATCTATATAGCAAGGAGGGAAGAGCTGACGTCATTATAACGTTCAATCTTCTTATCTGTGGGAACCTGAAGCAGTTTCTGTCTCCTTCAGACTCAGTGTTGTACTTCTCCCCATATGGATTTTTAATTGAATGCTTAATTTGGGGTAGTAGGATTTATGTTATCAATTTATTTATTTCATGTGTTCATAGGAGGAGGCTGCTTTTTATATATTAATATTAAACTTTGTAGCTTTGGTATGGCCACTAATCCCTTCAGGATGTTTTCTTGTGGATCCTGTCAAGAGTTTCTGGCTGGACAAACTTGTTTTCTACAAAAGAGAAAACCACTTTTTTTCCCTTGCAAATCTGCACGCTTTTTGTTTTGTTTTAGTATCCCTCGTTCACTGACTGTGGGTTCCGGTGTGATGATGAAGGAGCATTGCCTTTTCATTTTCATGGGAAACTCTTTGTTTCTCACAGTCCCAGGGCTGCTGTCTGTGTTGTCCTTTGTCAAAGGGAGGAATTTGGTTCCATTTCTAAAATGCTGAGTGTTTGTGGCATGAATGGGTTGTTACATTTTCTATGGCATGATCGTGTGGTCTTTCTTGTTTGTTGTGTGTTGCATTTCCATTTCTGTGGCTGTGATAAAATACCTGACAAAAATCAAGTTAGGAGACAAAAGGGTTTATTTGGTTTTATAGTTCTTGATTAAAGATCATCATTGTGGGGAAGTAAAGGCCAGAATTTCAAATAGCTAGTCACATCACATCCCCAGTCAAGAACAGAGGGAAATGGATACATCCATGCTGTCTGCTTGCTTGCTCTTGATTTCTCCTGTCTATAAAGTTCAGGACTCCTTGCCCAGGGAATGATGCCACCACAATAGGGACTTCCCTTCTACCCCTGGGGTGTGTTGGAGGCAGGTGGGGGCAACAGCAATAGGCTATAGGTTTGGGAGTCTCTTGGACAGCCCTGGTTAGTAACTCAAAAGAGGGCTTCTCTGTGGTGATACTTTGTGTGTGCTCTAACAAATAAAGCTTGTCTGAAGATCAGAGGGCAGAACCAGTCCACTGGTTCGCCATAGAGGCCAGGCAGTGGTGGCACTCACCTTTAATCCCAGCACTTGGGATCTCATGCCTTTGATCCCAGCACTTGGGAGGTTGAGACAGGAAGTGATATGGCTGGGTGGAGACAGGATCTCCCCCTTTTGGCTGAGGATTTGGCCAGGTCACAAGTGGTTGTGGCTTGTTCCTTTGTCTCTCTGATCTTTCAGCATTTACCCTGATATCTGACTTTGTGTTTTTATTAAGAACAATTAGGATTCGTGCTACATCTGGCGTCTAACTTCTGGGGCACAAATTCAGGGAAAAGGTGCTTGCCTTTGGCTTTGCAGTCACCAGTACAGGCTCGAGCTACCCTCAGCTGGAGTCACAACCCCACTGGCTAGAATATCCTTTTCTTTCCCAAGCCTTCTGAGAGAGTCTGCGAATTTTTCTGTTGTAGACTCTCTACAGCAAACTCCACTGGCTTTTGAGCTCCAAAAACCGCAGTGTAACCACTTTCACGTGTTCCCGTATGCAGATGGCTGGCTCTTTAGCTTCTTATATTCTGTTGGGTTGTTGGCTTTCCCTGAACCCCCTCTTCGAGCTGCTGCCAAAGTAGGTAGTCAGGTTTCTACAGTTATAAGGAGCAGCAATCAACATCACACTTCACCTTCATCTTCATCGGCATTGTCGGCAGCTTTGGTGATACTATTTGGTGATAATTTTTAAAGGGAAGAATTAGTTAAAAGAGAGGGTTTTTTCCACATTAAAAAAATGGGAAACATTATTACAATGGAGGGAGTGAGGTCTCTGATAATACACTGGATGATATGAAGATAGACTAATTAAATGAGAGAATAATTAATTTAGATGGTATGTATGTAATATCAATTATGAATATTTGTTTGATCATTTTTGTTTTATCATTTAAAAAGTTGGTTAATATGAGTGCCAAGATAAAAGTTTCATAAAAACTTGTTAAAACAGATCATAGAGTTATTCAGACACAGACAGAGGAATTTAAAAGAGAACAAATCTCAGCATTGCATTATAAAGTTACAGAGAAACAGCCTAAGACTTTCAAACAGGCAAATTTAATTTATCCAGTAACCTTGTAGGAACTGCCAAATGATAGCTATCCCCAAGGCTGTGTTAAGAGCTGAATGGACTCCTGTCCAAATGCTAGATGTGAGGAGATTCAATGAAGAGATAGTCTTATATGGCATGCATTCATCTTTTGTGAAGCATGTTAAAATTGTGGTCAACTTGTAATAGAATTATTCCTCAAGACTGTAGAGATTTGATTACAGCAGTCTTAGAAGCTGGCCCCCAATTACAATGGAGGACCTGATGGAAGGATGAGGCTAAGACTATTGAACAACAAAGTAGGGCTAGAGGTATCGAAATCTCCCAATCCCAACTCCCTGGAAAGGGAGATTATGCTCGTGTAGAAAGTAACCTCTATATGATGACCACACCCTGGCATTATGCCATGTAGCAGCCTTGAATGCTTAGGACAGAATTGAAGAAGTAGGAACAAAAATTGAGACATTTACTAAAGTTATACAGGACTCAGAAGAAACCTTCACTAATTTCTTACAAAAATTGACTCCAGCAGTAAATAGAATGATACTAAACTCAGAAGCTACACAAATAATAATTGAATCTCTGGCTTTTGAAGATGCTATTGCAAAATGCAAAAAGATAATTAGGCCATTAAAGGCAAGATCAGGACCCATGGAAGAATGGATCTGAAATATAATAAATATTGAATCTCAACACCATGATGATGCTTGGATAGGAGAGATGACTTCCAGAGGTTTGAAGAAAAATCAAAATGTAAAGTGTTTCTATTGTGGTAAACAATTAAAAAGGGACTGTAAACAGGGCGTTCCCAGAAAAAAAATCATTTACTCAGAATGACCCCAACACAAAGTCCCTCCCTTCTTGATTATGCAGAAGGTGTGGCAAAGGCTGACATTGTACTAATTAATGTAGATCAACAAGGGACAGACAAGGTGACCCTTTGCTGTTGGGACATGCCTTGTGGGGCATCTAAAGGATACAGAGCTCACCTGACATGACTCAAGAGTTGGGAACTAATTCTGACTATAGCTCAAAATACTAACTGGGAATCTCATTAATCAGGAACCTGTGAGTCTTACTCAGGCTCCACTTTATGTTGCTGTAGGGTTAAAGGAGAAAACCAGGGAAGATTACTGACAGTGGATGACGGGTCTCTGCAGATTGCTGGGTTCATGCTACTTACTTAGTGTGTTTGCATGCTGTAGTTCTGAGTGATCTTGTGGGAGAATGGTCATCCTCTTGTGGTTCCTATAAATCCAAAAACAATAAACCTCCACATCCAAACTTCTCCTAACAGTTCCCCAAATAAAATCCCTCCACGGTCCAATTTGGGAAACACGGTGTCAGAAAATACAAAGCAAGTCACTCTCTGACTGCAAGCAAAGTTTCCTAAACCTGACCACTTGGAAGCCAAGGAAGCAGTGCTCAGCCACTGCCATAGAAGAAGAGTCACAAGTGCAGCTTCAAGCGTAGCCCAGTTGGTCAGTGAGAGTTCACTCAGATTACACTTTTCAGTTAGAGAGCAAGTAAGGACCGCTTCACAACGGCATGGCCAGTGGACACAATGAACTCCATCCTACAAAGCAAATTCCATTGCTACCATGCTAAGGAAGGAACATCCACAGAGTAAGAGACAATAAAAGACACAGAAAATGGGCACCGGAATTTTCTTTGAGTACCTGCTGTGGTTTAGATGAAGGTCCCCAAAGGGTCCACATGCAATGGCTTGGTCCCAAGGAGTATGCTACTGAGGCACTAGAGCCTTTGAGAAGAGGGGTCCATTGGGAGGTTTAGGTCATTGGGAATGTGCCCTGAAAGAGGAATGTGGACCCCAGCCTCTCAGTCACTCTCTGATCTTGCTCCTAATGTGTGTTCGCTCTAATTCACATTCCTGCTGTACTTTGCTGCCTTCACTAGAGAACCAAGAATAAGGCTACCCTGCAGAACTGAGAGCCACATACTAGGGCTTTTTCTACCTTTTCAGTAGCCTGTGTTATGTAGTTCATTATAATAACACAAAACTAATATAGGCTCCATGGGAATCCTTATTGGGTCAATTTGTGATGCCAAAACAATACCACCAAGGTGACTTCTGATGCATGATGGTGGCACAAAGATGTGTCACTCTGTTCCCTTAGCTCACACACTCTGTGTTTAAAAAGCAGGAGAGAGTCAACTCTAAAGTATGGAGAAAGGTGAGGCTAATCAGGTGAGCACCAAAACCCAGCCCACTTCCAAAGGACCTCAGGAAAGAACCCAATGTCTACCACCTCTAGTGGCATCATCATGAAATGTCCCACCAACAGTGGCTACATGACAGATGCACAAACCATCGAGCATTCCCAGGGACCTGACTGACATCCACTACACAAAACACCAGGGAGCTTTTCCATGGAGCCCTGGAGCTCACTGCACAACTTACAGGCAGCTCCACAGGCCAGAGGCTCCTCTCCTCTTTTTATGTAACCTTAGGGAGGGAGGGACTTAGTGAATCCATTAGTTTCAGGGACTTCCTGAGACTTTTGAGTTAGCCACTTCCTGAGTCTTGAGTGTATTCCAGAATGAGATGTTTCAACTCAGAAGAAACTGCTGCACAATGCTTTCTGGATGGGCAACTTTATCAGTTTTCTTCAATCCTACAGGCTTAGCACTGTCCTGTGAAGACCGAAACTCCAAAATGCTCCAAGATTCAAAAGCTTTTGCACATCAATATGGCAGCAGAAGTAGAAAATTCCACATCTGGCTACCTGTAACAGGTCATGGGCAAAGGATAGGCACATTAACAATGCCGTGAGAAGTGACTTCTCAGGCTGTGTGTGTATAAAACAGAAGTGAGCCTCATATGGAGATGCGGCTCCCCCATAAATACACATTACATGTATGAAAGTATTCCAAAATCTAAACAATCCTGAAATCTGCAACACCTCTGGTCCCAAACATTTTCAGTAATGGAGATTCAGCCTGTAGTAACTCAGACAGAGGCATTTCACTTCTGGGAAGCAGCTCCACAGATACTCAACAACTGCCAATAAACAAACACTCAAAACCAAGGCTGTTTCATGTAATGCTAAAGAATCCGAAGACCTGTGAAATAAATGACCCATATAATGTGACACAGAAGTAAAAGTGGGACTGCAGGGCTAAAGGGGACAGCAAGGACAGGGTAGGGGAATGTGGAGGGCTCTCACCCTGCCCACATCATCCTCTTCATCCCCTGCAAGAGGAACTGTCCCTCTGCTTAAAGGACAGGATATTACCCAGTTATCCAAAGGACAAAGGGCACTCCCTACAATCCCTTTCCCTCCTATTTGTTGTCACACACACACACACACACACACATACATCAGAAAATTGGGCTACAGAAAGAGCCATAAACCCAGCTTTTCATTCTTGTGGCCACTTACACAGGAAAAGGAATTTCTGCAGTTGATGGTGTAATGTCCAGGATTTCAGTTAAGCAGAGTTGGCCAGGGAAACAGTATCTGGGGAACACTGGGAGACTCGCTGGGTCTGAGTAGGCATGAACTTACACAGCTTTCACAGTAACATGAAATATATCTGGAGAGGAATGAGCACCAAATGTTTTATAAGTTCAGAGAACAACCCACCCCTCCCCCATTCCCCAAGAGCAGTCTGAAAACCCAGAGAAACCAAGTTGAATTTCTCTGTCTCAACCTCTACCGTCTAACTACTCACATGATGTCCCAAAAATTCAGATGCACCCCTGACACCCTTAAGAATTGTCTGAACCTGGTATGGTGACACATGCCTTTTTCCCAGCACCAGGGAGGCAAAGGCATGGGGATCTACAGATAGAGTCCCCTACAGCCAGGCCTACACAGAGAAGAAATCCTGTCTCAAAAAACCAAAAAAAAAAAAAAAAAAAAAAGATGCTGGGCAGTGGTGGCGCACGCCTTTAATCCCAGCACTCGGGAGGCAGAGCCAGGTGGATCTCTGTGAGTTCGAGGCCAGCCTGGACTACCAAGTGAG